AGCCAAATTCCACTTCATTGTTCCCAGGCAGCAATTGAAAGGATCTGCTAAGCAACAAACCCACTAGAGCTCAATGTAATGCTCATAATGTTTAGAGTCTATAGGCACATGGTTTAATGGCAAACTATTTAGAAATGTTTTGACAAAATAAATGTTATCCACTGCATCCAGAGGCTGTCTCCTGAGTTGTGTTGGGAATATGCCATGTAAATTTGCTCATGGATAGCAGTGATTGGATGAGTGTGCACGTGGCAAAAAGCTGATGGGTTCTTGAAGGATGTGAGCACTGGGCAATCAGGCCCAAGCGGTTACATTCAAACTATAAGTTTAGTAGTTCTGTTGTCTAGATTCTCTAGAGTACTGTCCCTATGTTTTAGACTTGTTGGGGAAAGAAATGTGTTAAACCGCGCCAAAAGATAATGTATAAGAAAAAACAATGTTTTAAAAAAAAAAACCTATATGCATACACTTAGAGGTCCAATATTATGCTGGTATATGGTAACCTCAAAATAAAACCGAATAGGATAAGATAATAGTGCAATATGTCACATGAGTTTTAAAACCCAATAGAAGACTCACTCACACTCTCTAGAGCTACAAAGAGCTCTGCTGATTAGCTTATTCCTTGTATTAGGTATCCAATTTTCAACAACCATGTAGGGAGGAATCAAAGTAAAAGAAGCAATGTCACAGTATATTGTAAGCAATATTAGATATATTTAAAAAAAAAAAAAAAGCAGATATCCTAGTTACAATTTTATGCTTATGGTGGTACAATCCCCATCTGGGATGTGCAGGATTCAGTGCAGTAAAACAGCAGCAGGGTAAAATAATAATAATAGGGATTATTAAATAGCAGATAACTGTATTAATAAAAAATGTAGCATAAAGCTAAAGTGCTCCAGTCCCCACTTGGCATGTTTCACCCAGATTGGACTTCTTTAGAATGTCCACACTTCTGAAGAAGACCATTCTGGGTGAAACGCGTCATGTGGCATGGGAGCCGGCTGCCCGGAGTGGCAGTAATCTGCCTGCAGCTCCTCTCTGCTCCTTCGCGCTGTTTAATGATGCCGGGAGACAGAATATGACGTCACTCTGGGAACGCTGCAGGTAGATTACTGCTCCCTCGTGCTCAGGAAGACAGAGCAGCCCCACTGGACCCTACGGAAAGAACCACTTGGCTCTCCCAAAGGTAGCGATGCTGGGTGGATTTCAATTAAAATAAAAAAAAATCTCCGTTTGTGTCTGTCAGGGAGTGTGTATCTGTGTCTGTTTAGGTACAACCTCCAATCGCGCACACAAGGTGTTTTTTACTCACCTTTCTTCCCATCCCGTGCCAGTTTCGGCATGGCTGGTCTTGCCTCCATGGCTGAAATAATCAGTCTTTATGATCTCCGTTTAGTAAGGATATTGCGCTTGTGCAGAAAAACAATGTGGCAATCAGCATATCCTCATAAAGATGCATTAAATCAATGCATCTCTATGGGTAACATCTATCATTTCCATACAAAGTGTGGTGATGCAGAACATAGGTGCTGCACTGACCAAGTACTCTCTAATGGCCATCTAAGTGACTGTTACTAGACTTTCTCTGAAAAGGCAGTGTTTGCATTGAAAGGTCTGCAGGTATAGTCTGTAGACCCCAGAACTACATTAAGCTGTAGTGGTTCTGGTGTCTAGAGTGTCCATTGAAGGGATTCTGTAGTGCCAGGAACACAAAGCCTCTTTCCTGGCACTAAAGATTCCTACAGTGCCCTCTCCTGTAGCACTGAATCCAGTGCCAGTGTCCTTCAGTGCTTGATCAAGCTCTGCCCACCACTGTAGGGACATTGCACACAGACCACTTCAATGAGCCTAAATGGTCTGGGTGCCTACAGTGTCCCTTTTAAGAATTGCATTTTTCTCCTTGAAAATTAAACCTAAAATTTATTTTTCAAAAAACAGGCTCCGTACTTTTTTTAGCTGGCTCCTAGGTTCTTAACAAATTTGTCAAGTCCTGCACTACAGAAGTTTCCATGGTATGAAAATGTTTTTGCTGTTTGTGTCTTAAATGGAGGCCTGGTTCCTTTAGAGACATGACTTTCTTGATATTCTATATCGTCATAAGTTGTTGACCAATTAGAATACACATTAAAGCATACAACCATGTAATCTCTATAGACACATCATTGCATTTGACTGGTTTTAAAGTTTTATGGCATTATCATGGGCTTTTATACCTTTCTTTCCTAGTTGGGAAGTGGAATGGAGCACACATGCATAGATGGCACAAATAAATTATCACTGGTAGGAATGTTGTCTTAAGAACTAAGACTTTGTTAAATCTTCTTGGCAAATAAACCGATGGTTTGATGTCATACCCATTTTGCAGTCTAAATGACTCTTCCAGGAGAACACTACTTGCTTGCCTCTGTATTGCCAACAGCCGTGTTGGCTTTAGCTTTGAAAAATTACCTTTTCGTATTTGAGCATGGCGATGCCCGTGGCTCGGTAATTCTTTTATTTGACGACATTCCTGCACTGTGTTCTAAAATCTAATGAAAACCTTTTCCAGTTTAGAGGACCTTGTTACAGAGGCAAAGGTGGTGGACCATATACACTGCTCAAAAAAAATAAAGGGAACATAAAAATAACACATCCTAGATCTGAATGAATTAAATATTCTTCTTAAATATTTTGTTCTTTACATAGTTGAATGTGCTGACAACAAAAATCACACAGATTAAAAAATGCAAATCAAATTTTTCAACCCATGGAGGTCTGGATTTGAAATCACACTTAAAATGAAAGTGGAAAAACACACTACAGGTTGATACAACTTTGATGTAATGTCTTTAAAACAAGTCAAAATGAGTCTCAGTAGTGTGTTTTGGCCTCCACTTGCCTGTATGACCTCCCTGCAATGCCTATGCATGCCCCTGATGAGGTGGCGAATGGTCTCCTGACGGATCTCCTCCCAGACCTGGACTAAAGCATCTGCCAACTCCTGGACAGTCTGTGGTGCAACGTGACATTGGTGGATGGAGCAAGACCTGATGTCCCAGATGTGCTCAATTGGATTCAGGTCTGGGGAACGGGTGTGCCAGTCCATAGCATCAATGCCTTCGTCTTGCAGGAACTGCTGACACACTCCAGCCACATGAGGTCTAGCATTGTCTTGCATTAGGAGGAACCCAGGGTCAACCGCACCAGCATATGGTCTCACAAGGGGTCTGAGGATCTCATCTCTGTACCTAATGGCAGTCAGGCTACCTCTGGCGAGCACATGGAGGTCTGTGCGGCCTCCCCCCATTACTGAACCACTGCCAAACCGGTCATGCTGGAGGATGTTGCAGGCAGCAGAACATTCTCCACGGCGTCTCTGGACTCTGTCACATGTGCTCAGTGTGAACCTGCTTTCATCTGTGAGGAGCACAGGGTGCCAGTGGCAAATTTGCCTATCTTGGTGTTCTCTGGCAAATGCCAAACAACCTGCGCGGTGTTGGGCTGTAAGCACAACCCCCACCTGTGGACGTCTGGTCCTCATACCACTCTCATGGAGTCTGTTTCTGACCGTTTGAGCAGACACATGCACATTTGTGACCTGTTGGAGGTCATTTTGCAGGGCTCTGGCAGTGTTCCTCCTTGCACAAAGGCGGAGGTAGCGGTCCTGCTGCTGGGTTGTTGCCCTCCTATGGCCTCCTCCATGTCTCCTAATGTACTGGCCTGTCTCCTGGTAGCGCCTCCATGCTCTTTACACTACGCCGACAGACACTGCAAACCTTCTTGCCACATCTCGCATTGATGTGCCATCCTGGATGAGCTGCGCTACCTGAGCCACTTGTGTGGGTTGTAGACTCCGTCTCATGCTACCACATGCGTGAAAGCACCGCCAGCATTCAAAAGTGACCAAAACATCAGCCAGGAAGCATAGGAACTGAGAAGTACTCTGTGGTCACCACCTGCAGAAACACTCCTTTATTTGGGGTGTCTTGCTAATTGCATATACTTTCCACCTGTTGTCTATCCCATTTGACAGAATGTGAAATTGATTGTCACTCAGTGTTGCTTCCTAAGTGGACAGTTTGATTTCACAGAAGTGTGATTGAATTGGAGTTACATTGTGTTGTTTAAGTGTTCCTTTTTTTTTTCTTTTTTTTTTTGGAGCAGTATATATTTAAATACCGATCATTTTGCAATGATAGTTAAGCAGGCTGCAAAACATACTCCTAGGTGGTGCTTGTGTAACATGAGTGCATATTGCATTGGTTAGAAGTAGGGATCGACTGATATATTTCAGGCCGATGGCATAGAACTTGCTGATATTCTGTATATTTACCATTTTGAAAAAATAAACTATTTCTAAAGTTAAATGCACAAAATATACATGCCACATGTAGTGGATGCAGTGTGTTTAGACAGGGGAGCTGTGTTTGTGTAGTGTGTGTGTATTTAGTGAATGTAGAGCGTGTGTGTGTGTGTGTGTATTTAGTGAATGCAGGGTGTGTTTCTGAAGGGATTTTTTTTATTATTATTCTCTCCCTCCCCTGCCCCCCGCCCCCTGCTTGTTAATTAGGCCAGGGAGGGGGGATATTTCATTCCCTGGTGGTCCAGTGACATGTATTGAGCAGTGGGAGGGCTGGCAGCAAGCGCTTACTTACCTTTACTTCAGCTCCCTGTGTAAATCTCGTGCCATGCTGAGCGTTGCCATGGTAACCCGTGGTAACACTCTGCGGCCGCGGGACTCACAAGATTTACAAAGGGAGCTGCTGGGAATGTAAGTAAGCCAGGCTTGTAATGGGCTCGGCGGTCCTGGTATGTATCATTGGCAATATCGGTATCTCTATTGGCCGAAATACCGAATATCTGTAAAACAGATAATCGGTCGATCCCTAGTTAGAAGGAAAACTTACTCAGTGGTAGAATCTCCTTTTGATTTAAAAAAAAAAAAAAAAAAGTCAAGCATTGCTGTTTTAGTTTTTTCAAAGTGTGTGTGTGTGTGTATGTGTATATATATATATGTGTGTGTGTGTGTGTATGTATGTGTGTGTGTGTATATATATATATATATATATATATATATATATATATATATATATATATATATATATATATACACACACACATACATACATACATATACACACACACACAAAACCAAGAGGGCTGCACTCACCTAAACATGCATACATTACAGGGTGCTGCTGGGGCCAAAATATATAAAATACAGAATCCAGCGCACTCGCTTATTCACTAAACAATGCTTTCAAAATCTTAGAGATTGTAATAGTTTTATTTAAAAACACCTCACCTAGGCAAAAAATAATGGGGGTTTAGTTACATTATATGATCATATATTGCATAAGCCTGCCACAACGTCAATGTACCCCATTCTTGGCAGGTCCTACTCTAGCAGCCTAATGCACCCTTATATATATATATATATATATATATATGTGTGTGTATATATATAATATGTGTGTGTGAGTATACATATATAATATGTGTGTGTGTGTGTGTGTATATATATATATATATATATATATATATATATATATATATATATATATATATATATATATATATATATATATATATATATATATATATATAAAATTCAGTAAATCCATGCACTCAAGCTTGCAAGTTAAATAGAAGTATAAATAATACTTGCCGGGTGCCAGTCCCCACGGGGAAATTAGCATGCTATTTGATCCTGAGGAAGGTGCCTGCGTGGACCGAAACGTCGATTTTTTTTTTTTTTTTTTTTTTTTTTTTTTTTTTTTTTTTTTTTTTTTTTTTTT